CTTAAAAACAAACGTAAATACCCGTTCAATTCAGGGATCTCTAATGAAGAAATAATTATAGAGGTAGGTCAGACACTTGGGCACAGAGATGACGGCTGCAAAGCTATTTGTAACAGAGAAAAATAGACACAACTTAAATATCCAGAAATAAGGGAATGCACTCAATTGGTCGTTTCTTAGTTACCTTTGTATTTTTAGCATAGGGTGCCGGGGTCACGTTAACGATATAATAATAATAACAGCTAATATTTATGGAGGATTTTACTACGTTTTCATCACGTATTAGGCACAGTTGTAAACATTTTAATCTTCACAACAACCCAATTAAGTAGGTACTATTACTTTCACTTACAGAGATGAGGAAATTAATCCCAGAGCGTATATTCTTAGCCATCATATCAGTTATTCAATAAATGTTTCTGGAATACATTGAATGTTTTGTTTATGGATATGTTACATGAAGGCACACAAAATCATCTGTACTTAGTTATGCCTTGTTCCAAACTGTATATATAAACTTGATCTCAATTATGGGAGAGCAGCTCAAAAATTCATAGGAAATAATGTTAACCATGGTGGGGTTTTTTTCCCCCCCCCTACTTTAGACCTCTCATATTAAAATGTTTATAAGAAACACATGTATATACCCAGTAGGTAATGCTGAATGGCACCTTTGCCACTGGTTGACTATTGTTATTTCATGTAAAATGATCTTTATTAGATACTGAGCCTGCTATCCAACTTCAGAGTAGAAGCTGATGCAGTCAGCACTACCACATCCTCAAATCACCACCCAGGAGCCTAACTTTGCTTATTTCAATGTTTTCGAGCTAGTTTCTCGTGCAGTTAAGTACAGAGAAAACCCGATAAATAGTCCGGTCCTACTTGATCCAGAACCAGAAAAAAGCACCAGGGTCACAGTGGGAAGCTCTCACTCTACCCACTCCAAATGCGGACAGGATGCTCTAAGTAGGAAAAGTGAAATATGAACTTGGAGGAACAACAGGATGATAGGAAACAGGGAACAGGCACCTAGGAGAAAAGAAATGGGATTGGTATATAGTTTACGTGGGAGGTGAACATTAGAAACTCACACATTCGACACCTAAAAAGTTGAAGTGTGTAATGTGTTTAAACTCTTTAGAAACAGAGTAAGAGTAAGGGCTTGCAGGAAAAGAAAAAGAGCAATGGGATCGTTTGGGCACCTCAATTACAGCAACAAGGAAGCAAGATACTAGGTAGAAAGGGCTCTTTTAGGGGAGTTTGCTAAAGGTAGTTAAGACAACAGAAACCATTCTTAAAATGCAGGGGCCAGTATTTGGCGTCATTCTGACCCCCTTCAAACGTAAATACAGACACTGGTTTTTAGAGAGATCAATCGTGCACTGGGGTCACTAGAATCAGTCCGGTGGGATGTAAATGGAGTAACAAGGTCAGAGGAGAAAACTCAGAAGAGTCTATGGGCTCAGTGAGACCTACTTCTAGATGCAATCCCTGGTGGGGGGTGGTGTGTGCGAAGGGAGGAGTCCTGAGCCTAGAGAAAATGTTCAGTTATCCGGGTTGGGGTCGGGAGTGTCAGGGTAGTGGGGGCAGGCATTTCGGGGTGATCCCAAGGAACCCTCAAGTCAAGGTGGTAGAGGATGCGCTGGGATCCCAAGGAGAGGGTGGATCACCGCTGCGCTGTCACCCGTGATAATGGCACGTCCCCGGCCCGGGCTCTCTTACCCTCCAAGGTGACGGTGTCCAGCTCTCGCTGGGAGTGCTCAGCCGCCGCAGCCGCCGCCTTGCCATCGGTCTCGCCAGTTGATCCGCCACCCGCCGCCGCCTCCTCTTTCATCTCCACATCCTGGGGCGCCGGGGGCGGCAGTGGTTCTTGTTCCCCTCCGCCGGGCGGCGGCTTCGCCTTATCCGCGCCGCGGCGCCTCGCCGAGCCCTCCTGCTTCATGGCGCCCGGGGTCGCGGCCTAGTCCGGGGACCGAGGCCGGGGCCTCGCGTGAACCCTCGCACCGGAGACCAGGAACCGAGCCGGGCCTGCACACGAGCGCGGACTCGCGTCGGGCCGCACGATGACGGAGCACCTGCAAACCCCTTCCCGGCGCTGGGCCTTCTGGGAAACGCCAGGCCGGGCTGGCCGATGGCCGAGTCATCAAAGGGGGGAAAAAAGTCAACCGCCGAGATGCAGGATGGAGGCGGATATTCTCAGAAAGAGCGGGGAGGAGCCTTTATGGGTTTGCGGGGCTTGCTTTGGAGTGCTCCAGTGTGTTGATTTTTTTTCTTGCGCCTCTCGAGTGCATTTCCGTATATGTCCACAAGAGGTCACCTCAGGCTCCAACTGGGTTACCGCGGACTCTAAGAGCACCCCGCCCCGCGTGGAGTGGGTAGGGCCTATCGGAACGTAGGGCGTGATGACGCCACGAGTTGCTGGGAGGGTTTCATGCCTAAACTCGCTCAATTTGCGCCTGGCAAGAGGTCCGTATTGATATCCAGGAGGCTGGTCTTCAACCGCCTCCCGAAGGGATGTGGAGCTAGGTTGTTGGACTTAAAATAAAACCAAACTGGAGACAAGGAAGAACCCTATGGGATTCAGACTTCCTTGTCCGAGTTTAGCTCGTGCTGAAAATAAGGCATAAAATCTCTGCAGCCTGGGAGTGCGGATGGGGGCAGAGTGCGTTTGTGTGTGATTACTTAAGTTTAATAAAATTTAGGGGTCCACTCTGTGAGGCCCAGGGCTAACACATTCAGTGGGAGGGGTGGTAAAAAAACAGCGCCAGAATGTAGTCTGCTGGAAGCTTTGCTCTGGGCTGCTGTGTATTGTGAGGCCGGAGGAAAGAGAGAGGCTTCAGGGAGTACGTTGGGGCGCCTTTATGCATCCAGACAGACACTGTAGTGAAATGGGGGAACAGAATAATAGTACACCTAAGGAGCACCTAAGAATCCTCCAAGGGAAAGAAATTGGACCTGAAACCCTGGCCACTTATCTTTCAAAGGAATCCTCCAGCGATTCTGCAGGAGGAGGATACAGGTTCCAATTTCTTAAGACACAAAACAAAAACTCCCTTCCTATCTTGGAACTTTTATCTCTTCCATAAATGGAAGTTTTAAGTTTTAGACCAGGTCAGACCCTGCAAGACAACCTAGCCCTGTTGTAAGGTCCTAGAGGGCAGAGAATATGTTTCGACTATATTCTCCTTTATATTTATACAGAGAGAGGGTATTCTCTGTATTCCTCCTTTTGCACTATTGCAGCGAATAGCTCCTTGCACTGAACAGCCACTTGCTCAATGGAAAAGTGTGTGCTCCAGTTTTAGGGGAAAAATGCCTTGGCCAATTCCTCCCTAACTGTTCCCCTGCCCCCTAGGACTGGGAGAAGGATAACAGGACTTTTGAATCATCACTGGAATAAACTCATGAAAATCTCTTCTTTGTAACACCATATCTGTAACTGAAGGTGGGCATGAGAATGGTAAAGGAAGAAAACCGACAGGTTTTGTTGTTCATCTTCATGAGGTTACCCTTCTGGATAGTTAAGGTGTTAGCTCACTTCATTGTTAAGTTTACATCACAAGGGAAAAACAATCAAGTCAGCAGGTATGTCCTTGAGCAAAATAGCGAGGCCTTGGAAGATGCCCCGGAATGGGGAGGATGGCTTAACGCAAAGCTTTTGTCAGTGGGTCATGAATTCTTGGTGAGTGAGGGAAGCAGCCTGGGTAGGGGGTGGCTAAGAATGGGGAGAGTCTGACTCCTGGGGCCAAAAACCTTGCAGAAATTATTCCACCCATAAAACTATTTTAAAAGAGATTGGGGGAAGATGTTAAAAGCCAGCTTTAGGCAGAGGAGGCTGGTATGAACCCAACAGTTTTATGAGACTGAATGTCTGTATTAGCCCTTCCACGTGCCAAACCTACCCATATGACAACCACGCTAATTGGGGGCAGAAGAAGGAAAGGTGAAATGAGAAGATAATATCACACTTTCTTTTTAAAGTTTTGCATCAGTCTAATTCTTGGGTACCGTTTATTTATTTAGTTTTACTTATCTGCATTTTTTTTTATTATCTGCATTTTTAAAGAAATTTTATTATTTTTTTTTTGGCCGCGCCGCACAGCCTGCAGGATCTTAGATCGAACCCGGGCCCCCAGCATTGGGAGCGTGGAGTCTTACCCACTGGACCACCAGGGAAGTCCCATCTTCTGACTTTAGAATCTAGACTCCATATTCCACACCCTCACAGTTCTTCTCTGAGCATTTTCCAGGTGGTCTGAGGACCGCATGATAGTATTCATGTACATATAATCTATACGTAGTACGATAATGTTTATTTATTTTTTCCTGGCACAAATTAAGAATTTCCTTAGGATAGGTTCTTCAAAGAAAAACACCAAAAGACATCTCACCCAAGGTGAAATAATATTTGTTTCATCAATGCCAGTAAAGCTTGATGTTTTGGAATCATAAGCGGTAGGGGTTTTACCCAGATGATGCACTGGAAGATCTACAACTGGATAAACCATTTCCTGAACTGAGAGAACATTTTCAGTCCTATGATTTGGATCATATGGGGGAAACACATCCATAGCCACACGCCACAGATTATAATCATCGCTGAATATTTAGCACAGTGGAACAATGGAACAAATGGATGAACACCTAGAATGTATAAAGAAAAAGAGGACTTCGGATATTTGATTAGATAGGGGGTTCTAAAGGGGTAAGGGTTGGGCTAGGAAACTGTTTAATTTTGGTTTTGCTGAAATGGGTCATAGTTTTAAAAGTCTGAGCGCTTCCACTTTTAGAGGACTGAAGCATCAGCAGATGGGTTGTGGAGCCATGGGGCAGGGCACATACAGAGTTGGACAAGTGGAAATTGATTTTCTTGGGTAATCAGCTAAGGTTTCCATCATCCTTAGTCTGCTGGCTCCCAAATGCCCTTGCATGTCAGGACAGGGCACAGTAAAGTAGGGAAGGCCTTAGGAGAGCAGGAAGCCAATGGAAAAGGCAAGTTAGGACGCCTTGGTCAGTAGCTGCAGGAGGGAGAGGCCAGCGTAACGGCACAGAGGCGGGGAAGGGTGTCTGCGTCCCATGTGTCCTGGGGGCCCGATCTCTGCACTTCCAGGCCACTCAGCCCCACTAGGGCCTCTGTGAGGGTCAGCTCCTCTTCCCCAAGAGAGGAAAGCAGCTAAGGCTGCAGGGGGAAAACACCCTCTTTATCCTGGAGGAAATTCTGTTCCATTGTGCTCTCCACCTGGAAGGAACCAAAGTAGTATGAAAAGGAAGAACTAGAAACCTCTCTTCCTTTTTCCTAACTCAAAAAAACCATGAAGAGGGCTACCGTTCTTTTACTATAACCCCTTTTGTTACAACATGACGACTCTGTCTGGGCCTTTTAATAACCCTGAATGATGAGCGGCAATTTGTTTTTAGCCCCATTTGACAGAGGAGTGAATTGAGGCAGACTCAGAGACATTAAGATTTGCTCACATCCCTTGGCTAGGAATAAACCAAGTCAGAGTTTTCTGTCTCTTCTACTAGGATCAGGTTGAAAAACCCAGATAGTTGCCCAGAAGGGCACTCTTTTCCCTCTAGTTGTGAAATAGCAAACAGGAAGAAACATGGAGAGAAATGAGAAGTGGGCATGAGCTCCTGGGAAAAGACAGAGGCCCTGGAGGATGGTTCTGTCATTAGGCGAAATTGTATCTTTCCACTGGTTCTAGCTGACTCCCTCGCAAACTCTCCCCAACATCTGCCATTTTTTCTCACCAGCTTTAGCTGCAAAAGTAAGATCTTTTTCTCCATGGATTGTACCAGCAGCTTCTGTTGGGCTTCACTTAGCTCTGGAGAAGAAAAGCAGAGAAAGAGATGTATGGGTGCAAAGGGGACTACAGGCTCCCAGTGGGTGTATTTCCAGAATGTTGGCATCCGTTGATTCATACATTCATCCATGGTTGAATACCTGCTCTAGGCCAGGCACCTTTGCTGGATGTGTTAGGTAAAAATCATCCTCTCTTCACTCAAGGAACTTGCAGTCTAGTGGAGAAGACAAAGTAACATGCAATTATAATCAGGCTGTTACAGGAGCCATAGCTGAGGGTCTACTTTGGTCTTGGTGTTTGAGGGCAGGCTTGGTGAAGGAACAAACACCTCAGCTTACACGTGAAGGTCCAGAGAGTTTTTCAAGGTGGGGGAATGTTTCTTGCAGAGGGAAGAAGAGAATTCAGGGGCAAGATCAGAAGATGTTATCCTTGAATTAAAACTAACAGATATCGATATAAACGTGATGAGCTTAGCTATATGTAGAAGTTTTAAATATATGGCTGATAAAACTAGGGTTATTTCCCAACCTCTGTTAGCAAGACTAGGCTATGATGACCAAGTGAATCCTTAGGAATGAAACCAACTTTTAAAAGTGTGGATATAAACTACTTAACTGTAGTATAATTGGCCTGACATTTACTTATTTACTCATTCATTCATTCCTTTATTCATCTGGAAATTCATTTAGTGACTCATTCCTACCACTGAATAGGTATATAAATGAAGACCTCACTCCCCACTTACCTGTTAGAGCTCCAAGGAAATAGAGGACAGCACCCATAGCCTCCTTTGAGAGTAGGACACCTTTTGGGAGTGCCTCCAGGGTTACTTCATGTCCTTTGTCTAGAGCTCCTTCAAGCTGTGGGGAAAGTCGGGTGACTGTTTAAGACAACACAGTTAAAGGGCATAGTGCCTGGCACATAGCACTCCCTTGAGATGTGCTAACTATCTCCATTTCCTTGTTTCTTTTTCAAGGTATCAAGCCCTGAAAAGTGCTGGACTCCTGGGTTCCTTGGTGTCTGAGCCCTGGACTCTGGAAAGGAAAGGTCCAGCCCCCTTCCAACGGAGGGGGAGCCTACCCTCTGTCCATGAGGAGGGAGCATGTGCTTCGGGGGAATCTGCACTGTTTGTCCTTCTCCAGAGGGACACAGAGAGCAGTGGCGACCCTGGCAGCCTGGGGAACACTTGACCAGCCTTGGGGAAGGCATCCACTGTCGATTCCTCTAGCTACTGCCCACCTTCTGCCAGATCCGTCAGATAGCCACACACAGCTCCACCAAAAGCCTTCCTTCTTCTGCATCTCCTACCCTTCCCTTGGGTCCTCACCGTGAGCTCCAGGTCTTCTAGCTCCTTTTTCTTCCCTAAGAGTTTGCTGAGGGAGCTGAGCAGGGAGCTCTTCCCTTCTGGGCTCAGCTTCTCCACTTCCAGGGTCTCTCTCGTTTTTTTTTTGTTTTTGTTTTTTTTTTTTCTGTACGCGGGCCTCTCACTGTTGTGGCCTCTCCCGTTGCGGAGCACAGGCTCCAGACGCGCAGGCTCAGCGGCCATGGCTCACGGGCCCAGCCGCTCCGCGGCATGTGGGATCTTCCCGAACCGGGGCACGAACCCGTGTCCCCTGCATCGGCAGGCAGACTCTCAACCACTGCGCCACCAGGGAAGCCCCCGCAAACCACTTTTGACACGTTCGATCAGTCACAGCACCTTCTCCATACACTGCACAAATCTTTTTTTGCATTTCAGTTGCGTTTTTACCTTTCTTGAAATAATAAAGCGTAATATTCAGAAAATGTTGCTTTTTTTCTTCCATCTTCAATATTAAAATGGCTACACAAAAATTCACCAATTTTGGACTTCCCTGATGGCGCAGTGATTAAGAATCCGCCTGCCAGTGTAGGGGACACAGGTTCGAGCCCTGATCTGGGAAGATCCCACATGCCGCGGAGCAACTAAGCCCGTGTGCCACAACTACTGAACCTGCGCTCTAGAGCCTGCAAGCCACAACTACTGAGCCCAAGTGCCACAACTACTGAAGCCCGGGTGCCTAAAGCCCGTGCTCCACAACAAGAGAAGACCCCACTCGCCACGACTAGAGAAAGCCCACGCGCAACAATGAAGACCCAACGCAGCCATAAATAAATAATTCTAAAAATTCACCAATTTTGATTTTTTTTTAAATGCACGCTGATATGACAGCTGTCACAATACAATCTAACAAAGTTGTTTTGAATGAAGTTAAAGACAACTAAGCACTACTAGAGCCATCTTACAGAAAAAACCAAATGATCTTTTTGGCCAACCCAGTACAATGTTGTGTTGGTTTCAGGTGTACAGCAAAGTGATTCAGTTATACATATATGTACATATTCTTTTTCATATTCGTTTCCATTATGGTTTATTACAGGATATTGAATATAGTTCCCCGTGCTATACAGTAAGACCTTGTTGTTTATATATTTTATATATAGTAGTTTGTATCTGCTAATCCCAAACTCCTAATTTATCCCTCCCTACCAAGGTCTTGCTCTTATCTTAAATCCCTGCCTGGAAGGAATTTTAAAGGGGACTTTACACACATGGCAGATCTCTAGATGACAAACCAAGACATTTACAAGCAAGGCTCCTGTGGTGTTGGGATATGTGTCTGCGCATCCATATGTATAACCTGAATACCACTGAGCCTTCATACACTCACCTTTAGGGTCTCCTCAGTATCACCCATCAAAAATGAAATGTGACCTTGAAGGCTATGAACAGTAAGTTAGGACTTCTTTATTTTGGCTACACTGCGCAGCATGCGGGACCTTAGTTCCCTGACCAGGGATCAAAACCACACCCCCTGCATTGGAAGCGCGGACTCAACAACTGGACCGCCAGGGAAGTCCCAAGGTCTTTACTGGAGGTTTTCTTGAGGGGCTGGTGGTGAATGGGGGAGATTAGACCACATAACACACAGCAAAAGTTCTAAAAACTTGACTGTTCCTCCTCTGTCCCCAAAGTCTCTTTCAGTATGACAGCTGCTCCCAAATCTCTCTCCCCTGTCTTGAAACAAAACAAGACTTTGCCCCTGCTGGGCCTCTGGTCCCTGCCCGCATCTTTTGGTTCACTTCCCTTCCCATCCACCCTGGGCTCGTCTTGTGCAGCTATCTAATACCTCCTCCTCCGACAGCTCTAACCATTACCTTCAACAAACATCCCTTCTCCTTAGGCGGTGGGATGGGAGATTGGGCGTGGGGGAAGGCTGACATTAGTCACGCGGTTCCTGTCACAATTGCACATGTATGCAGAAATGTGTGTCTGTGTAATAACCTTTCCATCTCTCTTTTCCTGGTTCTTCCTGGATTTCCATCTCTTCCTCTCTGTATCTCTTATTCAGCACATTGATGTGATACGACAGCAATCCAGCATGTGGTCCTGGGCTGTGCAGTCTCCCATCCTTTAATCAGCTCCAGAGAAGGCGGCTCCACTCCCCACCCTCTTCCCAGCCCACCATTGCCTCAGCCAGACTTTTAGGAGTTTCTTCCTAGTGTCTATCTTCCTCCCACTGACTGCAAGCCAAGGTTTCCGGTTCAGCTCATCCTCCAAAGACTTGGAGAATAGTGATTTCAAGAAGTCACACCTGGGACTTCCCTGGTGGTCCACTGGTTAAGAATCCGCCTTCCAACACAGGGGATGAGGGCTTCATCCCTGGTCAGGGACATAAGATCCCACATGCCACAGGGCACGAAGCCTGAGTGCCACAACTACTGAGTTCACGCGCCTCAACGAGAGAGCCCGAGTGCCGCAACAAAAAGATCCTGTGTTCCACAACTAAGACACGACACAGGGGCTTCCCTGATGGCGCAGTGGTTAAGAGTCTGCCCGGACATGGGTTCGAGCCCTGGTCCGGGAAGATCCCACGTGCCGCGGAGCAACTAAGCCCGTGCGCCACAACTACTGAGCCTGATCTTTACAGCCCACGTGCCCAGAGCCCGTGCTCCACAACAAGAGAGCCACCGCAATGAGAAGCCCGCACAGTGCAACGAAGAATAGCCCCCACTTGCTGAAATTAGAGAAAGCCCGCGTGCAGCAACAAAGACCCAATGCAGCCAAAAAAAAAAATTATTTATTTAAAAAAAAGACCCAACACAGCCAAGAATAAATAAATAAATATTAAAAAAAAAAAGTCACACCTGTTTCTGCTCTTCCTGAGGACCCAGAAAGCCCATCAAGCCAGCTTTCTCTCCTCTGACCTAGAAATCTTGCTCCTTTATTTCTCTTGCCCTCCTTCATTCCCTCTGAACTCTACCAGGCCTGTCCTTATTCTCCTTGTCCTGCTCCCACCCCACCTTCACCCCCTCGCACCATCCCCCCAACTGCATGATGGTGTTCCAAGCAGGAGCCTTTGAGGGTTCAAAGCACAGAGAAAAAATAAGGGCTTGTGAGGTCAGTCAGGTTGGAAGGTCTTGTGCTTTTGGAAAAAAAACATCCATGCCAGGCTTGTCCCAGTGCTGCTCCTCCCACCCAGCATATACTGTCTTTTTGTCACCCTCTACCCCATTCAGCACCAGCTCCTCAAGAAAACCTCCAGTAAAGTCCTTAGGGATAGGCCACAGAATCACTTTAGGGTCCAGAGACTTCTTTTCCTCAGAGTCCTTGTTTATGTTCAGGGGAATCTGGGACACAATTCAAATTGTGTTGGAGGAAATTTAAGTTGGATTAACGTGTAAGTACTCTTCAGGTCAATTAATAGTGATTTATTGAAACAGGAGCCTGGGTAGGGCATGGTGCTGATGCAGGCCACAGGCTTTGTTCTGTATCTCCCTCTGGTGGTCAGTTAAGGGAGGCAATGGGCGATAATTATCCCCGAGTTTTGCTCCAATCTCGTGATTTGTGTGTGGTTGCTAGGAGATGGGGGTCAGGCAAGGGAATCGACTTAGGGGAGGAAGCCCCAGCCACCTGTTCTCTAAGACCCTGACCCACAGAGTACACTGCAGACCCTGAAGACAGACACAGACATTGGGACGGGGCATTATTTACTTAACCATTTTCTTCTTTATTCTCCTTTTTTTTTTTTTTACAGTTATTTTTCTTCTTTTGGGGGGTGGGGTGGGGTTTCCTTCTGTTGTAGATTTTATTTTATTTTATTGTTTGGCCACGCTGCATGGCATGTGTTATCCTAGTTCCCCGACCAGGGATCGAACCTGTGCCCCCTGCATTTGAAGTGTGGGTTCTTAACCACTGGACCGCCGGGGAAGTCCTTCTTTATTATTCTTAATTTTCTCCTCAGGAAGGGGCCAAAGAGGAAGGAGAGAGGGGTAGGTTACTGAAGTTCAGGAGGGTGGAAGGCACTGATCCTGGCAAGAATGGGAAGAAGCTGACACCCTGGGAGTTATGAGGGCAGGAAGGAGCTTAAAGAACGTGCCTGTAGCAGGCAGAGCCAATTTGTAGGGTGTGGGAAGCCTGGAGTACTTGGGGGAAGGGACCCCCTGCACAGACATACTCCCAGACCTTTGCTGAGTAAAAGGAGGTGGACTAGCTAGGGATGAAGACAGGCTGGAGTGGTGGAGAAGCAGGAAGAATGTGCTGTGAGGACGTTGCATTTTATATTTCTCATGGGGGACTTCCCTGGCGGTCCAGTGGTTAAGATTCTGCGCTTCCACAGCATGGGGAGCGGGTTCAATCCCTGGTCGGGGAACTAAGATCCCCCATGCGAGGCCAAAAAAAAAAAATTATATCTCTCATGGGAGGTTGGAAGTTTTGGGGTGCAGATTGCCGACTGTGAGCTATACTTCCATAAATAAACTATACTTCTTTTCTGAATGGAGTAAAACCCCCAGACTCTTTTCTTATCCCCTAAAAAATTGTTCTTCCCAAATTCTCAAATCTGCTTTAGAGCCTAAGACATCTCCAAAATCCTGGCTGAGCAGACACTGGTCAGTGGCTTGTGACACTTATTCAAAGTTGTGCTGAATCACTGAAGAAGTACGTCAAACTCAAGGTCAAACTACAAGGTGCCCTCGCTGCCCCTAGCCGTCTGCTGCCAGGCCCCCTACCTGTAGTCAGGCTAAAGAAGCAGCCGCGCCAGGTGCTGGAGCTCCTGTCCACTCACAGCTGACGAAAGAGAAGCTTTCCTCCTCAGCTGTGACTGCTAGGCCCTCGTGATGGGACAGAGGTCCCAGATCCTTGTTGAAGAGACTGGGTCCCAGATGGAGCCTTTGAAGCTCTGCTTCCAGGAGAACTTGGAGTCGAAGCTCCTCTCCATTTCACCAGCTCCCCCAGGCCTGCACCAAACCCCACTCTGTTTTCCCCAGTTCTGGTTGGGGAAAGCCAGGTGTTGTTGGCCACACCTGAAATACGGTGAGGATGGCATGGAGGGCGCAGAATGGTGACAAGGCATTGGGGTCCCGGGTATAATGGTGTCCATCCCCTTGTATGTCAAGGCTGCAGAGTCCGACTAGGGCTAGGTGACCTTCAGCTCCTCGCCCTAAAAGCCCCTGAGTAGCTTGAAGTGAAGACAGAAGAGCACTGCATCCCCCTGGAAAGCTTTGGTACAGGATGATCACCACCTGCACAGTAGAGAATAAACATCACAAGATGCTTTGCATTTGGGGAGCTACCAACTTCAGAGGAGGTCCGCAGTAAAATTTTATTTTATTTTTAAATTATTTATTTAGGCCGTGCCAGGTCTTAGTTGCGGCACGTGGGATCTTTTTTTGTTTTTGTTTTTTTTTTAATTATTTATTTATTTATTTTTGGCTGTGTTGGGTCTTCATTTCTGTGCGAGGGCTTTCTCCAGTTGCGGAGAGCAGGGGCCATTCTTCATTGCGGTACGCGGGCCTCTCACTGTCGCAGCCTCTCTTGTTGTGGAGCACAGGCTCCAGACGCGTAGGCTCAGTAGTTGTGGCTCACGGGCCCAGTCGCTCCGCGGCATGTGGGATCTTCCCAGACCAGGGCTCGAACCCGTGTCCCCTGCATTGGCAGGCGGATTCTCAACCACTGCGCCACCAGGGAAGCCCCCACGTGGGATCTTTGTTGCTGCATGTGGGCTTCTTAGTTGTGGCGTGCATGTGGGATATAGTTCCCCAACCAGGGATGGAACACAGGTGCCCTGCAATGGGAGCATGGAGTCTTACCCACTGGACCCCCAGGGAAGTCCCTGCAGTAAAATTTTAAATTTCAGCCCCTGCCCCCATCCTTGACCCCTTCTACCCATTAGTGCTAGAGCAGAGGAAAAATAGGCATGGGTTAAGAATTTGGAAACCTGAGTTCTGTAGAGAGCTCTGCCAAGAGGCTGCTGTGTGGCCCTGGAGAAGTACCTTCTGCTCTCTGGTCCAGAGTGCTCATCAGTGAGAGAGGGCGTGGAGCTGGATGCGCTCCCACATCGTTTCTAGTGTTCAATTTTACCCTAGTTGTCATCCCTGACACCCATCTTGCGACCCTCAGATCCTCATCAGCTCTGTCTGTTGGGGAAGGAGCACTTTCTCCATGGACATGGCTAGTAGCTGCTGTTGCTCCTTGCTCAGCTCTGCGGAGGGTAAAGGAGTGGAGACCACGTGAGGGACAGGGGCACACTCTCCCTCTGGTGGGCAGCAGATTGTAAGGCAGCTCTGGTAGTTGGTGTGTGTGTGTGTGTGTTGTGTGTGTGTGTGTGTGTGTGTGTGTGTGTGTGTTGGGGGCAGCAGATTCAATTCCCTCCAGGAGAGGATAAGAGAAGATTCCTAAGAGGATACATTCCCCTTTCTTTTAGGAAAAATGGGTGGGTGGGTGGGTGGGGTAGAAAGGCTTGCACTTCTTGCCTTTTCCTCGGAGGTGACACGTGGGTTTGGACCCTGAGACACTCTGCTTTGTAGCTGGTACCACAGCTGGCTTGATGGACATGCAACCTATGCAGTTGCACTGGGTCCCATGCTTGGTTTAAGCGCTCTGCTGTTGTCATCTTGAATATTTCTTAATAAATTTTTAACAAGGAGCCCTGTATTTTTCATTTTGCAGTGGGACTCGTAAATTACGTTGCACGTCCTTCTTGGTACAATTGGGCCCAACCCAGTAGGCCCATCAGTCACAGCGGAGACTGACCCCATACCCACTCCCGACCCTCATCACTCAGAACTTCCAGCACGTAGAGGATGTATCCAGCCAGTATGGAACTGAGTTTGCTATAGAAGTCTCCTGTAGTCATTCGAGGACCGAGTAACCAGGCTCGCCCCTCGGACTCCCAGAACCTCTGGCTTGTTAAAATCCAGGGCCCCATCCACCTGGCAGAGAGATGGGAAGTGATCAGCTAGATACCCCTGCAGTTAGTGAGACAGAAAGCTCCCCGACGGAGAGGGAGCAGGTCTCCCCACTCAGAGTGAGGATTCCCTCAGGGCAGGAGCCTAGTCTCTCCCTTAGCATAAAGAATCCTCCCTCGAGTGGACGTGCTGGCTGAGATCTCCCCGGAGGAGGCCAGTCACGCTCCATCCAACCTGCATCTGGCCCCTGCAACCCGTAGCCCCGCCCCAGGCCGCCCACTCCCGCCCCCAGCTATGTTAAGCCCCACCCCTCGCTCCCGTAGCCCCGCCTTCACCATCCGGCCCCACCCCCGCGGCGGACAGTCTAGCCATCACCAGTTTAGCCCCGCTCCCAGGGATCCCCGCCAGCCGTTTAAGCCCCGCCTCTCGCCCCCTCAGTCCTGCAGTCACCACTCCAGCGTGCTCCGGAACTCCCTCATCACCCCGCCCCCAGCCTCCCGCAATCTCGCCCACTCCGTCCCGGCCCCGCCCCCAGGAGCCCCGGCCCCGCCCCCAGGAGCCCCAGCCCCGCCCCCGCCGTGTCCCACAGCTCCTGCAGCCTCCGCCCCTGGCCCAGCAGCGCCGATCCTTCCCTCAGCCCGGCGGTCTGCTGTTCGGGGTCAGGCCCTTCAGCACCAGCAGCTCCTCCTCCACCTAAGCCAGTAGCTCCCGAAACCTCTTGGGCTCCCGGGGGACCGGCTCAGGCCCAGACAGAGCTATGAGGACAGGACAGTGGTGACTAGGACCCTACTTTGCTCCGTCTGCCTTCACATAACTTCACCCAGAGGGTCCCCCCACCCCCAGGCACAGAGGCCCCCTTCTGAGGCTTGGTGTCCTGTGTCTCCCTCAAGTACCCCTCCCCAGGGAAAGAGGATCGGGGCAGGGTCTGGTGTAGGGTGACGGGGGAGCTCAGCTCCTTACAGTATTTTTTGATGGACGTTGAGGACACTGCAGAGGGGAAAGGGACTCCACGGGTGACTGTGACCGAAGAAGGAGGACTGAGAGCCCTAAAGGAAGAGGCGTCCTCCTGACCGCTGGTGCAGCCCGGGGTGGGTTCAGCCTCATCCTGCCTAGAAGAGCCTGGTGGAGCCTGGGGCAGGGGGAGGATGCACTTAAAGGCCCAGGAAACCCGTGGCTGGGATGCCTGTCATCACTGCATTCTGAGAGACCCCTCTGCATCCCACCCACCACCACCCCAGGGTTTTGAGAAAGGGTTCTGGGCTTCAATTCCTCACTTGACCGGTTTCTTTCGTTTGCTGGAGAAGGGGGATCTTTGTGTCCCTCTCGCCTTCTGAGACTTTGTCCCCCCTTCCCCAGCCCCCATCACATTATGGGATGTGGAGGGAAGAAGAGTCCTTCAGCTTCTCTCACCTTCGGAGGGGAACAGCTTCAGGTTCTGGTCCTTGAACGGGAGGATGTCTGTGAGGGCTCAGAAATGGGGCACTGGCTGTCACTGACTCCCTACTCCTCCTTGCCTTTCCTGGCCAGCTCGCCTCACCACACATACACACATAGTGTGGTCTCCGAGAGGGGAGGAGTGGTGAGAGGTGTATGCTTTAGGGAGCTGCACAGAAAGTGTTGGAAGGGCCTGAGGCAGCGGCTGGGGTCATCAGTTGGTTTGGGGGGCAGAGCCTAAAGAGGAATGAAAGACCCCCACCGCCCAGATTTCAGCCCTGAGACTGGGGGACCAACCCTGGGCTGTCTGCCTCCCCTCCTCTCCTTCACATTCACCCGGCTTCCATCCAGGGCACCCCCCTGCTCTACCCAGTGACTACTGCTTGGGGTAGGCTGATGGTGGTGTTGGGACTGAGAGAGCCCTGGGGAAAGACAGGTCGTCAAAGGGCAGGTGGTGGTGGGGGAAGATGGAAGAGAAATGAAGAGAGGGGAACTTGGCAGAGGGAGGTGAGAACTCTGGCAGGGGCTGGAGCTGTGAGGGAAAAGCACCCGCTGGAGTCTCAAAGCCTGGGGTTTGCTCACGGATTGCCCACTGAGTAGCTGGTGAGCCAATGGACTTTTCTGAGGTAGTTTCCTAAACATGTGAGATGGGGATTGCAATAGCAAGTAGCCTACCTATCTCATGTGAAATAATAGATGGAAAAATCCTTAGAAAAGAGAAGAGCGGTATTATAAAAGATGAAGACGCCATTATTAGGGGAAATGGATGAGAGGCAGGTATGGACGGGAGAGAGGTACATTAGGATGCCCTAATGATGGGCAAGGATGCAGGGGAGATTCAAGGGCTGTGGGAGGGAAGGAGTGGGGGCAAGCGTGTGTATGGATGGGGTGGGGCATGGAAAGCATCTTGGAGGTTCCCAACTCTGAATCCAGCAGCAGTGAGGAGGGGGATGGAATGGCCCCTCCAGTCTCGCTCCCCTCCTCCAGGGTGGCTTCCCTCAGCATCTCACAGCCTCGGTCACCATGTACAGACAGGTTTTCCCCATGCTCCTGAAGCTTCTTAGCTTCTTGTGCTGTGGGGGTGGAGCTGGCTCTGAGTGGGTGGGGCTCTCTTCCGATCCATGTCCAGCTCCCTTAGTGGCACCCCTAGGTCTACCCTTCCCTCAGCCCATTCCCTTGGAAGGAAGCGTGTGTGTGTGTGTGTGTGTGTGTGTGTGTGTGTGTGTGTGTGTCTCAGAGGGACAGGGGACCTGTGGGTTCTAGTCTTGCTTCTTCCCTGACTCCCTGTGTGACCTTGGACAACTCACCATCCCTCTCTGGGCCTTTTTGTAAAGTGAAGACCCCTGCCATCTCTGATAGCCTGAACCCCGCTGGGTGGGGGCATGCCCCTTGGTGCCAGCCCCCTTGGCTGGCCTGGCATCCTCAACCTGCCTCCCCACCTCACTCAGCAGCTCACCCCTTCTTAGGTTTTCCAGATCATTCACAATGCTGAGGTTTTGGATGTCCATGGAATTTTGACATTTGCTGCTGACTGTGACAGAGATATTCACCAGGAGCCCTACGACTGCAGTCTTGGTGATCTTGGAGTCTTTTCTTGGTTCTCCAGGACAGACACCATGCCATTGTGCTTGTTCCCATACATCCTTTGAGAGAACCTTCCCTGATGGCTTGACTCTGCATGATAAATTGCCCCGACCCCTAAAATGAATGAAAATTGAGTGCTGACTTCAGACATTAGTTTCAGTGTGGGGACTTGAGTTTTTTGTTTGTTTGTTTGTTTGTTTTGCGGTACGCAGGCCTCTCACTGTTGTGGCCTCTCCCGTTGCGGAGCACAGGCTCCGGAACCGCAGGCTCAGCGGCCATGGCTCACGGGCCCAGCCGCTCCGCGGCACGTGGGATCCTCCCGGACCGGGGCATGAACCCGCGTCACCTGCATCGGCAGGCGGACTCTCAACCACTGCGCCACCAGGGAAGCCCTTTTGTTTTTTTTTTAAAACTTCTAAAAGAGGAAGAGAGTAATCGTCATAAGTGCAGAAATGAGTGTTGTGACTGGGAGGAGATAAGCTGGATTTTCCAGGGACCTGAGGCAGGTGTGTGGGTGTGGTGGTGATTGTGGGACATTAATCGGGGACAGAGAGACAAGAACAGAGAAGGGCCATGATGTGCTGAATCAGGTGCTGGAGAGCCATCTTCACCCATTCAAAGGGCTGTCGTTTCCGGGGGAGACTGGGCTGCTCTGCACAGCCTCAGGGCAGATCTTGGTCCCGTGGAGGAAGGAACAAGGAGGCAGCCCTGGTAGAACAAGCATTTTTCCAATAGTCTTTCTGCATTATTTACTTCTGCCCTCATAGGAGGGAAACTTTCTCAAATGCATCACGGGCTCCCTGTTCCTGAAAGTGGACACTCCAAGATTTGACCTTTTTTGCAGGTAACTCAAAGTCAGTGAGATTAATAGTATACATTTTGCCAACATCCATAGGCCCCCTAGAGGCGGGGAGGATAATTTGTCCACACAGGGTCATTTAGAAGACACTACATGTAAATTGGTGCAGCCACTATGGAAAACAGTACGGAGTTCATCAAAAAACTAAAAATAGAGTTGCCATATGATCCAGCAATCCCACTCCTGGGCATATACCTGAAGAAAACTGTAATTTGAAGAGATACATGAACCCCTATGTTTATTGCAGCACTATTTACAATAGCCAAGACATGGAAACAACCTCAATGTCCATCAATAGATGAATGGATAAAGAAGATGTGGTACATATATACAGTGGAATACTACTCGGCCATAAAAAAGAATGAAATGAAATAATGCCATTTGCAGCAACATGGATGGACCTAGAGATTATTGTACTAAGTCAGAAAGAGAAAGACAAATATCATATGACATCACTTATATGTGGAACCTAAAATATGACACAAATGAACTTATCTCCAAAATAAAAACAGACTCACAGACATAGAGAACAGACTTGTGGTTGCCAAGGAGGAGGAGGGGTGGGGGAGAGATGCATCAGGAGTTTGGGATTAGCAGATGCAGACTATTATATATAAAATAGATAAACAACAAGGTCCTACTGTGTAGCACAGGAAACTGTATTCAATATCCTGTAATAAACCATAATGGCCAAGAATATGGAAAACAATGTAGGTACTTCCTTGGCGGTCCAGTGGCTAAGACTGCATGCTCCCAATGCAGGGGGCCCGGCTTTGATCCCTGGTCAGCGAACTAGATCCTACATGCCGCAACTAAGAGTTTGCATGCCACAGCTAAAGATACTGCATGCTGCAACTAAAAAGATCCCACGTGCCGCAACTAAGACCCGGCACAGCCAAATAAATAAATATTAAAAAACCAAAAAGAATGTATATACATGTATAACTGAGTCACTTTGCTGTACACCAGAAACTATCAAAACATTGTAAGTCAACTATACTTCAATAAAATAAATTTTAAAAAAGAAGACATTACAGGGCCCTACTGCATTGCTTTTTGAGTTCTTAAAAA